TATTTTATTTTAATATTTTTTTTTCCTTCTCTTTTCATTAATCTTTAATATTTTTCATGTTTTCTCTCTCTCTTTATATATATGCCAAAAGAAGCTCCAGGGTCCGGACTTAAGGTTCAAGACATGAAAAAATGTGGGAACCGTTTTTCTAGCTAATTGGAAAAGCCACACTCAAAATAACCCCCCCCCCCCNATAAAAAGTTCTCTCTCATACATGTATTTAAAATCGGGCGAATGTTTCATTATTTATGTATTATTGTTATCATTTTTTTTTTTTTGAAAAAATAAAAATGTATTTCTTTAAGCATTTTATTTTAATATTTTTTTTCCCTTCTCTTTTCATTAATCTTTAATATTTTCCATGTTTTCTCTCTCTCTCTTTATATATATGTATGCCAAAAGAAGCTCCAGGGTTCGGGCTTAAAACGTGAAAAAATGTGAGAACCGTTTTTCTAGCTAATTGGAAAAGCCACACTCAAAATAAACCCCTCCCACATAACATTTCACAGAAAGGGTGAAGGAAATTCTCATACAAGAAAAGATTGATTGGTGAAATGCATTGAAAAGAACTTAACAGGAATGTGAATGCATGTTTAGGAATGCATTCTTTAAGAGTTCCTGCTGATTTCCTTTCCTTCAAGCAATACACACTTCAGATTATCTATGTGTTATCAATGTGGTGAATGTGTGTTATCTGTATATTGTCACTATCTATAGTAGTTATCTCTAACTTTTTCCCCATCATGACACCACAGGGAATCTTGTCATTCAGATAGAATGAACACGTTTCATATTTATTGATGAGAGTTGTGGGGTTGCATCAAAAGAAAAAATGGTGTAAATAGTTTCTTTGAAAGATTTACTAAATCTAATGAGCAATTTTGTCGCTGTAACGGAACTAATTGCTCAGCGTGGACGTTATAATGGGTGTTAAAATAACGTTGCGTCTATTTTATGGAATGTCAAACGGGACTTCATACATCGGTTCGTCAAACTCTTCGATTAACTGAAATGAAGAGCTGAAAAAATTAACTGAAAAAAGGATGTACAGTCCGTGGTCAAATTATTCGACGCACTATAAGATTTTATGTAAAATCTTAATTATCAGGTTATACTATACAGCTTTATTGTTTTTACACTACTATTTGCACTTGTTTACATTCGTGTATCAATGGATTAACATTGTAATGCAATACGTTAAAAATAAATACAATTAAGAAGTATATAAAAAACTCTCCTGAATAAAAACCCATTACATGTATGTTTAAATATAAAAGTATTGCGTATAAATTCGTGTAAAGCATGTCATTATTAGAGTGTGTCTAATAATTTGATCTAATTATTACAATATAATATATATGTACCTGATATAATAAATATTCCATATTTATGTAATATATCGTCACGTTTATCCAATCGTCGATTTTATATTATATATCGCCTAATTTAACCCAATATTACACGAACGTAAACAAGTGCAAACAGTCACGTAAAAAAGAATAAAGCTGTATAGAGTATCACCTGATAATTAAGATTTTACGTCGAATCTTAGAGTGCATCCAATTATTTGTCCAAGGACTGTAATTTATAAAAGAAATTAAATCCATATTTTATGTAAACACTAGCGGAAATGAATATAGCTAAAAAATGGATTTTTTTATTTTCGTAAATGTAAAGATTATTTAATTTTAATTGTGGTATTAAAATTATTGTGTTTTAATTGTCGTCGAGGAAATTTAAACTACCTAAAAATACTTCTTCGTATTGTATTTCTACTCTTACTTTCTTATTCTATCGTAATTGTTAAAAAATTTTTTTTAATTAAAGATTTTACTTACTATCCTTTACTTTTGTGTAGACTATTATGATAATTTGACTTTGAAGCAATAAAAATGCACCGAAAAAAAAAGATAAATAAAAATTTATAAATTAAAATAAAACCGAAAAAATCATGTTTAAGGCCATTCGATTATTTAGAAAATGCCTGCATTACTCACTACTAATTGCGAGTAGCATTTGCAGTAAAAATAATAATAATAAGAAGAAATATATATTATAGAGCCGCGGTGGCTCAGGGGATAGAGCGTTTGCCTCTCAAGGAGGTGGACCGGGTTCGAATCCAAGCGATGGCTGGTCGATACGAATTCCGCATCCGGCTTGCAGCGACCACAGTGCTGACGTAAAATATCCTCAGTGGTAGATGGATCATGGGTTAGAGTCCCTTTAACGTCCGGCTAATCGTGGGAAATTTTCGTGGTTTTCCTCTCCATGTAACGTAAATGCGGTTTAGTTCCGTTAAGAAGTTCTCCACGAAGGTAAATTTCTCCCACTACTTGATACAGTAGTTTCCTTGTCTTCTGGATTGGGTTCAAAAGGACAAGGCTACGAAGCTGAACATTGGTAGTTGTAAACCTAAAAATTGAATCGGCTGTTCAAAGACTGTTATAAAGCAAAATAAAATGAATTTTATAGGACTTCTCACTCTGTGTAACAAAGAACTCATTTTTTACTCTTCAGGTAAGAAATGAACGAAATTTTTTCATTATTCTAAAAATTAAAAATTTTAAAAGTATTATTAACTTAAAATAAGTGCACGATTACATTTATTCTTAATGTAATGCTTAAGGAATGAATAAAGTGTTGCGCACCTTCAATTGCGACAAAATGGTTTTTTTCTTAACTCATTTGCAGGTTAACCCCACATTTCCTTTGTAACAACCAATAAAAAAAAAAGAAGAAAGAAAAGATTTTTTTTGTAAGAAAGCGACAAAATAAGAAAAATTGGCTGAGCTCCACTACTGTCAACGTTCGCACAAATTGCGCCCTCTTCTATTTGCCGGTAAAAAAGGAAGCGAAGCGATTCTTTTTCACGCTCCGTCTGACTTCCGTTCTATCTTTCTATTGCTGCTGCTGCACCACAGCTGCTTTCATTCACATCCTTTCCCCTTAATGCAGCTCCGTCCCTTCATTTCTACTCCAGATTTCGGTGAGTAATCTCAGTTTTCATTCATATATTTAATACAATCGAATTTTTAGTCTTCATAATACTATTGTCTTCTGCCATTTCATTGATTCTATTGTTTTCGTTTGGCGACTTTTTATTGGCCAGAGAAAAAATTATGCAATAGTATTCTGAATTAACTTCAAATATATTATTGTTCGATATGAAAACGTTGTAAATAATTAGACACTTTTATGCATGTTAAAGTAAATTATAAAACTGAATGTAATGTGAAGTTGAATTCAATACGAAATAATTTAGCTAAAAAAATTTTTTAGAATATTCAATTATTGAAAATGCTTTTTAGTTAACAACAATCTTTTTAATTTGATCTCCTATTTCCAGAGAATAAATTTTTGAATTATGAACTGACAATGAATAATTGAAAGAATAGAACATATGAAGAAAAAAAAATCAGTCATTAAATGCGTTAGCAACAATTTAAACGTGCATTAAAATTAATTATTTTATTATTTTGACTTAGTGTAAGTAAAATGTATTGTTATTACACTATAAGCATTAAAATAATAAATTTTTTTTTTCCTATTGTGAGTAAAATATAAATGGTTAATGTTTGTTATTATACTGAAAATTTGTTTCTGATATGGATTTTATATGAGGGTATGTTAACGTGAAATTTTATTTATTTCGTTTTTTTTCTCTTTTTTTTTCTAACACAAATGCATGAAAATTTTTTTTAACAATACACAACGTATTTCATTAACTTCATTGAGATTCTGTTACATAGTTTTATTTTAGCCTGAAAAACTTATTCAAGTCTATTCCTGAATGTTATGTTCTGAAATGTTTTATCATGTTCGAACACGAAAGATTTGTGATTCGACTTATCTTTTCATTCTCATCTCCTTTCATTAGGAAGGAATAAAATACTATATTTTATATTTAAAACATTATTCATCTCATAACTTCATAAAATTGAATTTTTCCCTAATTAATCTTTTTTATGTTAATTATTCATCTCAAAATTGCAGAATTTATGAGATTTCTTGTTCAAAATAATGAAGGAATAAAATCTTCTTTAATTATCGCATCATTCATCTAAAAAACTATCGCATTCATAATTTTTTTTGTTCAAAATTATGAAGGAATAAATTTCTATTTAATAGTAATGGTATTTATTCATCGCCAAATTGTCGTATTCATAAAATTTTTATTCTTGTTTAAAATTACGAAAGATTTAAATCTTCTTAATTAATTAACGCATTTTCCATCTAAAAACTCTTGTTTTCTTATCATGTTTCATGTTTTTTTTTTCCAACTTACCCATGTATCAAACTTACCCATTCAAAATTGTTTTTTTTTCTTTCTTTTCAAAGTCAAATGTAGTGAAATGAAATTAATTTTATATATTATTTTCTACGCATTTATTAATGATTTTTCATAAGATATCAAACAATTTAAGAAATCAAGGCGAAACTTGAAGGAAACTTCTTGTCTTTCTTGTTATATTTATCAAACTTACCAATTAAGAATTATTTTTTTTCTTCTTTAGTCAAATTTAGCGAAACTTAAGTAAATTTATATATTATGTTCCACGCATTCATTAATGTTTTCTCTAAGATATCAAACAATTTTAAGAAATCACGGCGAAACTCAATACCGAAACCATAGTTGTAAATCGAATGTCTGCTCTAACCTCTATTCATGTTTATTCTCGATTGAGTGAGCACGCACAGGTCGAACGGCCTCTTGGAAGGGGAGGGTAGGCAACCATCGTTCGCCCCTCTGTTTCCTCCTTATTATGATCGAGTTTCTTTTTTCCTTTGTATTTTTTTTCTTCCTTTCGTACAACACCTGGCTTACTGACAACCGGCCCTCTCTTTCCTTTTCCTGTCATTATGTTGGTTGATTATGAGTCGATGTTCACTCATCTGAGAACAGTGTAAAATCTCCAAAATTTATTAGAAAAGAAATAGACTAATTGTTTTTTTTTTAAAAGATTTCTTTTTTTAAAAATGACAAATATTGCCTATTTCAGGCCCGACATGACGGCGCAGTTACAGAGCACACCTCGACACATAGCGTTTATTTCTCTAGCCCTAGGATTTTTAGTAATATGGACAGCAGTGTTAGCCGGTGTCCTTGTCGCTAGGACGGTCAAAGTAAGTAAATTTTTTCTTCTATTATTCCATTCATTCAAAATTATAATTTCCCCTCGTTAGGTACGATTTGTATGATTGCAAAACTTTTAATTGTATATTTTCTAGTTGTGTTTACGTTTTGTTGTGTGTCATAAATAATGGTGACTGTTCCTCGACTTTTTTCCCTACTTATCGAAATTGCTTTTTACTATTTAAACGATAATTTTTAATTAAAATATATGATATCTCCAATTAATTTTAAAAGATTGTTTACTTGTAGATTATTACTGAGTCAAATTAAAATGTACTTCGTTACTATCTAGTAATTAAGCAGGGATAAAAAAACAAGTTCTCGCAATAATATTTAAATTTTCGAAATCGTTTGATTAATAAAACGATAATCATGGTTTCACTACGAACTTTTTAATTAAAATATACCTATGATTTCTCCAAATAATTTTAAAAGATTGTGTACTTAATGATTATTACTGAATAAAATTAAACTATACCTAGTTTTTATCTAGTAATTAAGCAGAGATAAAAAAAAAAGTTCTCGCAATATTATTTAAATTTTAGAAATCGTTTGACTAATATGCTTTTAATGTCATTAAGGAAAATATTCCTATTTTTTATTTTCAAAATGCTTATTATGAGGATAATTTGCTGAACATATCAGTGCAATGCAATGTTATTCTAATTTTAACTCAATTCATGTCTCATTATCAAATATTATGATGTATTTAGGATAATTTAATGCATAGTAATGTTTACTTTTTTACTGATTATTCTACATTTAAAAATATCTATTAAATTGACCTAACAATATCAGTTATCTACATAGCATATTTGCATATAAATTCTTCTACATCATATCTAAAACACAACTAAATTGACCATCATTTTGCTGCTGCAATTCATTTTGCACAATCCTCATTTTAGTTCAGTTCAGGTTTTATTATCAAGTATTTTGATATATTTAGGTTAATCTACTGACAAAAACAATACATAACAAGTCTCGTTTTTTTATTGATCATTGACGTTTAAAAATCTCTACGAAGTTGAGTAAAATCTATAACTGACCTGAAAATATTTGCTTAAAGCATATTAGTTTTTCTTCTGAATCATTACTAAATACAGTCTGCTCTTTAGTATGACCCCCCATAAGTGTGACCCCTCTATTATGACCACTGGTTCAATATTACATGGAATCCCAGTTGCTGTTCTGTAGACACAATGTTACTTAGACACAATGTTATTTTAATGTCTAAATGGAACAGTTCATTCTAATTTAGCCACCAAAATTTTGTTTCATTTCTTTTTAATTACCTGAAAATCACCCCAGAAATAGATCTTAGAAATTTTTATGATGTAAGCCATAGTGATAATTTTGTGATCGTGATGTAATTCTTAAAGTAAAACCCAATTAAGTGCAGTAGTTATGAAATATTTAAGTAAATCTTTTGTAAATTTTATTTAGTAACAATATATTGACCTCACACTATGATGTCCATTCTCGTTTGGACCACAGAAGTGGTTATATCGAACATTGACTGTGCATCATGGCCATTATACTACTATAGTTCATTATTTTAGTTAAATTCAAGTTTATATATCTTGTGGCGTAACTACCACTACAAATATTAAATACCAAATCAATAGTATATAAGACATGTTAACTTGAATCTATCACGAGGTACCTTTTGATAGATGAAGGTTGGCATAGTCTAAGATTAAATTCCCCACATTGGTGACCTGCGGGCGTGACATGAACTCGTTAACATGATGGATGGTCCACATTAAACAGTTGATTTGCGTAATATAAGCTGCTCAAAGAAAAAAAAAAAGAAATCCGGTGAGGTAAATAAAGTCTCCCGGTTAATAAATAATAATGAGCGAAATGCTAGAAAATAATAATAGCGAAAAGCTATTAAAAAAAAAAAATAATGAGCGAAATGCTTGGAAGAAGAAAAAAAATATAATATATATAATGAGCAAAAATTGAAGTTAATAAATAAACAGCATTAATCAACTAGTGGTAATTGTTCATCGAATTCCATCACAGGTAAAATTCTGGAAGGGGAGTAATGTGGCGTAACTACCACTACAAATATTAAATACCAAATCAATAGTATATAAGACATGTTAACTTGAATCTATCATGAGGTACCTTTTGATAGATGAAGGTTGGCATAGTCTAAGATTAAATTCCCCACAATCTAAATAATAAAAATGGATCTTATACACTGATCCGTATAAGAAATCAATTAAATAAGTTGCATTTTTTTTTTTAATTATAACTCTGCACAATAATTTGAATTGTAAATTTGTTTAAATTTATGTATCATTATTAAATATGTCAGAATTTGCAATGAATCCATTTAAATCTATTCATTTTAGATTTTTCAAATAACTTTATAAAGATGTTCTCACTTTTTCAGTATCAGATATTTTTGTAATTAGAAATTCAATTGTGAATTTTACTTCACAACTTTATGCTGCATTTTGTAATTTGAAGAATATAATAAAGTTGAGGATGCAAGGCGATCGTTTTACTGAGTTGATTGTGCTCCGGAAAGAGTCCAGATTTTTTGCTAATCGCGATCCGGTTAATAAATTTTAAGAAATCATCAATCACATTTATGTATAAACATTCTTGTATATTTTATTTAAAAATATCAGAACTAAAATTTATACTTGGCATCTCTTATATCACTTAGTACTTGTAAATATTTTTTCTGGTAGAATGATGTGATTAGAGTTAAAAGTAAACTTATACAAAATTAATAATTTAAATTATGCTGCTTATAATTTATTTAGAATTCCATGTTTTGAAAATATCAATGATTTGAATTTATAAAGACATAAATTTTTTGAAAGGAGTCATTAATGATTTTTCTCAAGAAATTTTCAGGAATTTCTAGTTGGGCCTGGTTTTGTCACCCCTGGTTTTTGTCATTTAATCTTGCAAAACTTTTGATTTTACAACTTTATTTTTTTTTATTTTAGCTCTTAATTTCTAATCTGTGGCTGTAAAAATATACATGATTAAAGGCAAGTGTTATAAGGTGTACAATTTGTTTACGGATATTATTTTGGCACTATTTCATTATTGGCTGATGTTGGAATAGTTAAGATAAGTTAAAGGCAAGCATTGTTATTTAATTGTATNCGAGTTTCTTTTTTCCTTTGTATTTTTTTTCTTCCTTTCGTACAACACCTGGCTTACTGACAACCGGCCCTCTCTTTCCTTTTCCTGTCATTATGTTGGTTGATTATGAGTCGATGTTCACTCATCTGAGAACAGTGTAAAATCTCCAAAATTTATTAGAAAAGAAATAGACTAATTGTTTTTTTTTTAAAAGATTTCTTTTTTTAAAAATGACAAATATTGCCTATTTCAGGCCCGACATGACGGCGCAGTTACAGAGCACACCTCGACACATAGCGTTTATTTCTCTAGCCCTAGGATTTTTAGTAATATGGACAGCAGTGTTAGCCGGTGTCCTTGTCGCTAGGACGGTTAAAGTAAGTAAATTTTTTCTTCTATTATTTCATTCATTCAAAATTATAATTTCCCCTCGTTAGGTACGATTTGTATGATTGCAAAACTTTTAATTGTATATTTTCTAGTTGTGTTTACGTTTTGTTGTGTGTCATAAATAATGGTGACTGTTCCATGACTTTTTTCCCTACTTATCGAAATTGCTTTTTACTATTAAAACGATAATTTTTAATTAAAATATATGATATCTCCAATTAATTTTAAAATATTGTTTACTTGTAGATTATTACTGAGTCAAATTAAAATGTACTTCGTTACTATCTAGTAATTAAGCAGGGATAAAAAAACAAGTTCTCGCAATAATATTTAAATTTTCGAAATCGTTTGATTAATAAAACGATAATCATGGTTTCACTACGAACTTTTTAATTAAAATATACCTATGATTTCTCCAAATAATTTTAAAAGATTGTGTACTTAATGATTATTACTGAATAAAATTAAACTATACCTAGTTTTTATCTAGTAATTAAGCAGAGATAAAAAAAAAAGTTCTCGCAATATTATTTAAATTTTAGAAATCGTTTGACTAATATGCTTTTAATGTCATTAAGGAAAATATTCCTATTTTTTATTTTCAAAATGCTTATTATGAGGATAATTTGCTGAACATATCAGTGCAGTGCAATGTTATTCTAATTTTAACTCAATTGATGTCTCATTATCAAATATAATGTTGTATTTAGGATAATTTGCCATTTAATTTAATGCATAGTAATATTTGCTTTCTTGCTGATTATTCTACATTTAAAAATATCTATTAAATTGACTTAACAATATCAGTTATCTACATAGCATATTTGCATATAAATTCTTCTACATCATAACTAAAACATTACTAAATTGACCATCATTTTGCTGCTGCAATTCATAATGCACAATCCTCATTTTAGTTCAATTCAGGTTTTATTATCTAGTATTTTGATATATTTAGGTTAATTTACTGACAAAAACAATACATAAGTCGCCTTTTTTTACTGATCATTTACGCTTAAAAATCTCTACAAAGTTGAGCAAAATCTATAACTGACCTGAAAATATTTGCTGAAAGCATATTAATTTTTCTTCTGAATTATTACTAAATTCAGTCTGCTCTTTAGTATGACCCCCCATAAAGTGTGACCCCTCTATTATGACAACTGGTCCACTATTACATGAAATTGCTGTTCTGTAGACACAATGTTATTTTAATGGCCAAACTGAATGGTTCATTCCAATTCAGCCACCAAAATTTTGTTTTATTTTTTTTTTTTTTTCTATTTACCTGAAAATCACACCAGAAATAGATGTTAGACATTTTATGATGTAAGTACATAGTGATAACTTTGTGATCGCGATATAATTCTAAAAGTAAAACAACAAAGTGCTCTAATTTCTTAACAATGGACTAATTTCAAATATCACTGAATGGCTAGATGTCATTTGAAAAAAAAATTTAATGTATTTTTAAAGTAAAATATTATATGTTAAGTAATACTTGTATTTTATTGACTTATGATTGTGGTCAATAGATAATTAGGCAATTTCATATGCTTCTTCCTAAAGTATTTTTACCAAATTAAGTGCAGTAGTTATAAAATATTTAAGTAAATCTTTCATTAATTTTATTTAGTAACAATGTACCTATCAACCTCTCATTAGGATGTACATTGACCATGCATTATGACCATTGTTCTACTATAGTTCATTATTTTAGTTAAATTCAAGTTTTTCAATCTAAATAATGAAAATGGATCTTATATACTGATCTGTATGAGCAATTAATTAATAAGTAACATTTTTTTTTTAATTTTAGCTCTGCACAATAATTTTAATTGTAAATTTGTTTAAATTTATGTATCATATATGTCAGAATCTACAATGAATCCATTTAAATTTATTCATTTTAGGTTTTTCAAATAATTTTATAAAGATGTTCTCACTTTTTCAATATCAGATATTTTTGAAATTAGAAATTCAATCTTGAATTTAATTGACAACTTTGTGCTGCATTTAGTAATTTGAACAATATAATAAAATTGAGGATGGAAGGCAATCGTTTTGCTGAGATGATTGTGCTCCGGAAAGAGTCCAGATTTTTTGCTCATCACGATCCGGAAATCCAAGGCCCAGAAATTTTAAGAAATCATCCATCACATTTATATATAAAAATTCTTGTATATTTTATTCAAAAATATCAGAACTGAAATATATACTTATCACGTCTTATATCAATTTATACTTGTAAATATTTTTTCTGGCAGAATAATAAATGTGAGTAGAGTTAAAGTAAACTTATACAAAATTAAACTTAACTTTTGATTTTATAACTTAAATTTCGTTATTTTAGCTCTTAATTTCTAATCTCTGGCTGTAAAAATATACATGATTATTAAGTTGATGGCAAGTGTTATAAGGTGTACAATTTGTTTACTGATATTATTTTGGCACTATTTCATAATTGGCTGATGTTGGAATAGTTATTTGTTAAGATAAGTTAAAGGCAAGCATTGTTAGTTAATTGTATCAGTGATTTCATTTGCGCTTTGTAGTGTGCTGAAAATTGTGGGGGAAACTTGAAGGGGAAAGTTACAAAAAATCCTTGATATGGGTAATTCTCCATCATGGAAAATTGAAAAGTAGTGCACAGCAGATTTATGTAGGCAAAATTTAAACAATATTTTTTTGTTGAATTATTATTGTTGAATCAATTAATAGTTGTATTTTTATCTTAATCATAAAATATTTATTTTCTCTATACATCTTCAACGTGTAGATTTGTATTTTAAGTTGTGAACCTGATTTTTGTACTAAGAACCAGGGTCCTAAAGATCTGTACTTTGTAAAATGTATGGAGGAATAGCTGCTTTATTATTTTTGACACTATTACATTAGTCAGATGTTAGGATAATTACTTTTTATAATTTCAAAAATAAACTGAGTTGGAAGAAATTGTTTTGATTTAATTCAATAGAATGATGTTGGAATGCTACTTGGTACTTGTGTAAAATCTCAGACGGGCAATAAAGTTGTCGCAAGTTTTCTAAACAGATAACAATCATTTCATTTTGTAACTAGTGCATATTTAATAGGAATCAAAAGAAAGTTAATTTTTAAGGAAAATTTTGTAATGAATGCTTTATAATATATCATCAAAAAATATGTGGCACAATTTCTTTATAAAAATAACTAAATATGGAAGTACAGTAGGGAGCCGATTATCCGGAATGATCGGGACCATCTCTATTCCGGATAACTGATTTTTCCGGTTTTCTGAATCGCTACAAAAAGCCGTTTTTTTTATTGTCAAAGTCAACTAAAAAAAAATATTTGGAAATAATCTTAAAAAGAAGAAAAAACGATGAAGTAATACACTAATGATTATTTCCAAAATGATGGTAAGGTAAACATCTTTCAAAAAAGAAAGAAAAATCCTGAAATCTTATAAGGAAAAAAAAAAATTTTTTTTTTAAATGGCTGGAAAATTTATCGAATTTCGTTCCGGTTTTTTGGTTTTCCGGTTTTCTGATTTCCGGATAACGGGCTCTGTACTGTACTTTAAATTCTTTATATTTTAACCAAAAATAAGCTATTTCAATTAAAATCTTAAGACTAACCACATATTTGTATACATAGTTTGTCTGAAGTAAGAACTCCCTATGCCATTCGCCTAGATCCGTGGCGGTGACTCTCGTAGTGTATATAATTATTTCAAGTAGGGGTGTGGGGTTACTGTTTAGGACAGGTTTTGCCTCAGGTTGGCGAGAGAAAGGTAGTCTTTTTCTCCAGTCTATTGTGTTAGCCCTAGAATGAAGAGAAGCTACCCTCTCTGAAGTGCTCTATTCTTGTTTTCGTAGCAGCAGACGGCCTCAGATTTTGTGGCGGGGTAGTTCTTACCTCAGACAAACTATAGTTTACTATTCCTGGTAAGAAATCATGTTATTTAGTGTTATTTTTTGTTTTAGTAAAAATTGCGGGTAGTATTTTGTACTGAATAGTCTTGACTGGTGTTGTATTTTGGTGTGAATTTAATTTTTGTCAAAAAAGGGCAAGAAACTGATGCACTAAATGACTTCTTTTAATTGAAGCAATTAATGTTTTAACTAAATAGTGATAAACTGTAGTTACTTGATTTTTTTCCTCTTATTCCCTATCAGTACAGCACAAATAATCATATTGCAATGTAAATTTTGCAGCTGCGTGTACTTATATTTGAATTGAAATGTTTCAAAATTAATTTTTGTCTTTTCATTTAACAGGATGAAGCAAGTGCAAAAGAAACATTAAAGGTTTTTCACACCCATGAAGATGTTGGAAAAATACTTTTTGCTCTCGGACATGAACTAGGTAATCATTTTTTTGTAATACTAACAAAGTGTATCATATGCATTTTTGTGTTCTCCATTTGCATTGCTCTGTAAACATATTAATAACTCTTGAACTCTGTCTTTCAACATTTTTGTACGTTGTTTGTATAAACATGGAACTGGTTTTAATTACAAGTTATTTTTGACAGCATATCAAATTATTTACCAGTTATGTTTTGGATTTTTTAATTATTAATTATGTTACACAAGTTATTTACATTTATTATTAATCCTTTGTTATGTTTTGAAATCATATACTGATTAGTGTATTGTGTAAAGTGTCCATGCAGATCATGTGTGAGTGAAACAAGACTTCTTTGATTGCTTAGATACTCTCTATTCTTCTTTTTTCTGATTGTGTTTCATGTATTTGTGGATTATATCCCAATTAAAATTAGTTTAAAACGTACATAGTTGCTAACTCTACTGCAATTTGCCAGTTTCTCCTGGTCCCTATGGAAGAATTTTTGCAGGCTTTTTGCAACATAGTACTAATAATAATTCCAGTACTTATATTTTCCTCCTAGATACTTTAATCATTAATAATAATAAATTCACATGTTACTAATTTAAAGTAACAGAAGCAAGCGTCAACTTTAAAGAAAAAAGCCTTTCAGATAAAATAAAATATATATTTTTAATCGAATATGTAATATTTTTTCCTTATAATATTATGGGCAATCTTCTCACAATTTGTTGGGGGTAAAACACACTAATTATTTCCTTTTTCCCATTTTGCATCACATTAAAAAAAAAAATCGACAGCAAATCAGACTCTTCGAAAAGGGGCTTCTAATTGCATGTTTTCATTTTGAGATTTAGTTGTTGTAATAAATAATATTGTATTAAAAATGTACCCAAATAGCAAAATAGTGTTTATTTTCATTCAGCAAAAACCTTTTAATGTACACCTAAAAAGGTTTTCTGTCTGGTTTACGTGTAAGACTTCTAACCTTAAAACGAGATTAGTGACAATCTGCTCTACTCTACGCACATTACCCTCATCCATAACCTTGGAAAACAACCTTCTATATAAAAACCTTAAATAGAGGTTGACTTAGGGTCAAAATAATCTTACTAATCTTAAATCTAGGTAATTATAAGGTTTATTTTCGCAATGTCTTGCATGCTCAGCTAAAATTCACCTTGTCATGAAATTTTAATGGACAGTCCAATTGGATCCTATCGCTAGCGTGACGTCAGCTTAAACGTCATTATGAACCTAAGTGACAATTTCTTCTTAAAAAACGCTTTGAAAAATCATTTTTAATCCTTTTAGGATGAAAGGTTTGAAACTGCAATATTCTTGCTTTATTGAAAAAAGCCGGGATTCACCGTGATTTCACTATATCTGTTTCGCAAACAATTTTAACTAATATTTCCTAACTCCCCCCCTTTTATTACACATTATTTAAATCAATGATAAATAAAAAGAAAAACAAAAATTACTAAAACATAATACATAGTAACTAAAAATGTAACTTTTATTTTTTATTATTCTTCGTCTTGCGTACAAAAATAAATGGTAACCTTTAGCTGATGAGCAATCCTCAACATCAGATATGGAAACACTTCTCCACTATCTGATAATTTTTTCTGCTTTTATGTCATTCCGCTTTTTAAACCTGTCTAATCAGCTATTCTAGCTCAAAGAAGTACTCTCACCATATAGCTTAACAATTTCATCGACTTTGACTTGACGCTTTTGTCCAAATAGTGGAAGATTGAGTCTAGCTTTGAATGCTCAACCAATTCGATGATGCTATTTAATAATGAAACAAACAAGAAAAAATGCTTTTTGCTACATTCCATGCTATTGATGGTTTTAAAAATCGGTATATGTATTTATTTTAAAGTAGAAATTTCAAACTTATTACAAAAAAATGAAGAAAATAAATCAGTCGAAGACTGAAAAAAGTTCATAATATCCAACTTCCTCTCTTTTGTTGGTTCACTATAAACTGTTCACTATAGCAGAGTTTGACTGTATTTCTTTTCAAATTCTTTTAGCCACCACTGTACCAATAAAACATTGACAGATAATTCAAACATTGTATTTACAGTAAATAATACTTAATTGCTAATTATGAAATACCCACTGTAATAATAATTTCATCTTATTTGAATTGTTCTTATAATGGACTACTTTTTTTTACTATACTTTATTTTCATACATCTTTTACTATATTTTTATTGCATTTTGTTAGTAGAATTGATTAATACTTGTATTAGCTTAAAGTTATTAAGAAGATTATGGTTCTTAATTAAGAATCTAGCTGTGTGAATATTCTTTTCACATCAGCTGTTAATCTTATTAATTTATTTTTTCAATATACAAAAACTCTTTTTCTTGCTTTTAATTGCTTTTATTCATTTATTATGTACCTGAGTATGTTTTAAAAATTATAGTTTGCACTTTATTATTCATGTACTTCAGTTCCTGACATTACACACACAGTAAAGAAAATTATTATTTAATTCAAAATTCTTAACTAAGATCATAATTGAATTGTAATTTATTATTTATTATGAAAAGTTAATTTAAAAAACTAACATCCAGGAAGAATATTTGATCATAATTGTTAAGGAGAAGAAATGTTAAAAGATTTTATTAACTCGGCTTATCATTTAAAGTTGAAATTTTGCATATGCACTACATAAAATAATTTACTAAATTTTGAAATGAGTATAATGTTATGTGTGTACATTGCATAATAAATCACTCAGCAACAGGAGTTGAGAAATGAAATACTGTAAATTTTTTTTAAGGTATTTACTTAAAATATTCAAGTAATCAAAACTCTTCAGCTACATTCTTATTCGTGAGTTATGGACCCTATGCTAACATTGAAGATTGAAAAATAAATAAACATAACATTTTAGATAGTTTTCTCTGAGTATTCTGCACAATGTGTTTAATTTGTCTTAAGTTCAATTCTTTCATATAGTTTAACTTAGGCTATGTGAAAAAGTTAAATTGAGATTTTTAGCATTGAATTTTTGATTTAAAAATTAATAAGGATTTTTGATTTTCTTTCTAGCTCTTCCTTTTTCAAAAAACTTTTGTTTTTTCTCAATTTTTTATTTATTTTGAAACTACAATTAAGAGGGTTTCTATTATAAACCTAATTCTCTTTTCTTCGTTTTTTTCTTGAGAATATAGCAATTTGAAAACTGAGATGTTCAATTTTAAATTTTTCGTTCAAAAAATAAGATAAATTGTTATTTTTTTCAGTTTCGTTTTTTTTTAATAGTAGCAGGGCATTTTTAAAAGCGTTTTTATATACTTTTTCTTTTTTAACATTTCATGGGCACTTTTTTGTTTTAAGAATTGAGATAATTTTTTACAACTTTCCCCCTTTAATCCATACCGATAATGTAGCTAAGTTTAGATTATTTTTCAATAATGACTAAATTTATTTTAAAATAAAAAATATTTATGAATGATTTTTCTTTTAAAAAACATTGCTATTTAGCCACCGAATATTTGGCTATTGATTCGGCCAAATCACTGTTCATTACAATCCCATTAGTTATACTAATGGGAAAATGTGTAATGAAAAAATGTGTGCTGTGTTTCCCATATGATTTTTTTATCATTCTAATTTTAGGTGATTTTTTTTTAACTTTGAAATTTTTTCCTGCTGAAATCAGAGAACTGTTCATGAAAAAATGCTTTAAAATTCATATGACTAAACTATTTTGTATATATATAGTTAAATATAATGCATGTTCTCAGGGGTTTGTCCTGGGCAAATTTATTACCGTTTAGCGGTACCTTCACAAATTAAATGTAAGAAAAAACGGTAGTTTCACAAAATACTTTTAAAAAAACAAGCTCTAAAGTCCTCCCCCTTTAAAATTTTGTTGTTGTTTCCCCTTAAAAACAATAAACCTGGAGTTAATTATGCATTTCAATTTGCAATGGAACCCACACATGGTTTGCTATTATTACGTAGTGGAAGAATTTGCTTTCCACACGGTTTGTAAGAAGAGCGCTTTTCCTCCCCATGCCTGGCTGAAAGCATGCCGGGATCCCGAAAATTAATTTTAAACATTATTTTGCATTTTTATTCTTTATTTTAAGCATTATTATTATTATATTTTTATGAAAAATATTTTCCTGTTAGACCCATTCGTAAATGTTCTCCTAATGAAGCTAACTTTCAGTGCTTCGACTGTTAAATGTAAGTTTCTATTAAATTCAAGCTTAACTTTAATTATGGACAGTGCTTTTTATTGATTTTCTAAATTTTGATACAATTTAAAGCCCAAAGTTTTACAATAGTAAAATTGTTTTTGAACATATGGGGAAAAAAATATAGAAATTTACCAGTCATAAATGATTTTTATTTGTAGGGACAATTTTTGAAAATATTTTCTTAATTTACCATATTTTTGTGTTGATTTGTTAACATAATTTTTAATTTTCACAAATTATGTTCAAATTTTTACAAATTATGTCTAAATTTTAACAAAATGGGTACTTCTTTAAAAAAAAAGAAGAACCTAGACAGACCCATGTGAAAAAATCTGAATATTAATGTTTTAAAATTCACATTAACAAACTATTTTGTATATAGTTAGTTATAATGCATGTTCTGTCATTAGACTTTCTACATCCTGCATAGCAATGCTGGACATAATGTTTAGCATTGTTATGCAGTTATTTTTAACATTTAGTTGTTTAGTTTTATTATTATGCAACATTTTGTTAGTTATTATGCAACATTTAGTTTGGTTTTTAAAACATTTTTTTTTCCTTTTTAGTATCCACTGTTGATTGGATGCTTTCCACTCCAGACAAAACGAAAGCGGATTCTATAAGTGTGACATGGGAAATCACAAACAATATGCTAGCCAAACTGAAGGAGAACACTTCAGAACGTTGGGTGTCCAGTACGATTTCGATGATAGGCACACTGCGGGAGAGACTCGCCATCTTCAGGGAAACTGTTTCCGACGTCAAGTCGAATCCGATGTCAACTGTCAAATTTTACCTCGACCTGAGCAACTGGGTCTTACAAAGATGCTTCCTTCTGGACTACACTGGGCAACACCTTCCAGTGCCCAGTTTGCCTTATACTCTGTTCGTCAAAGGCATGGCTCAACGTTTTGGCGAGCTCGCTTTCGGCACTATTTACGTGAAGTCGGACATTCCGATCGACAAGGCAGAGTTTTTCAAACTAAGAACGGGTAGTGAAGAACTCATGGAAGCTGCCTTCCATTTCACCCCCAGAGCCCGTACAAAATGGGTTGAGCTCCAGGAACAAGAACCTGGAGTGCAAAAAGTGATGTCCGCCGTCATCGACGACATCCTCTCGGGGAGTTCTCTCCGAGGGCAGAAAGAGCTCGGCAATGACTACTTAGATGCTGTGAAAGAACAAATTGCAATGTTGCTGCTGACAAAGGAGGTGTTGAATGCATCTCTGTCTTCTTGGGTCGATCGACTTGCATTGAAATCTCACAATACCCTCGCGTTCCATATGTCCATTGCAATAGTCGCTGTTATCGCAGTTCTCCTTTGTTTGATTGTCACAACGTGTTCCTGCAGCTATCTGAGCAAGAGACAGCCAGATGCTGAAAAGAATAACAGTCATATGCCTTATAGTTCACTAGACAAATCATCTGTGTTATCGTCCAATATGAAACTGCAATGTTATATGTAACTAGATTAATTAATTTAAATTGTAGTATAGTATTTATATAATGTGATCTCATTTGTACAAAGATTTTAGGAAGAAAATAAATTTTTTATATTTATTGATTATTTTATCGTGATTGTTTGCCTTCTTTTAATTCTCATCATTGTAAGTGCAGGGGGCTTCTTAACCTCTTTTGATTAGAATTTTAATTTTTAAGGGTAAAACTCGTGATTTTTTGTTTCGTAAAATTTTTTTATTTTTTACTTCATTTAAAACAGATTTTTTAAAATTTAATATGAATCAAAGCTTTGACAAGGTATTAATCAGAGATGATTGTGCTCCGGAAAAAAACCAGATTTCCTGATGTTTCGCTACCTGCAATCTGGAAGTTTCCAGAAATCCAAGGTCTAGAAGTTATAAGAAATTGTTGATCACATTTATAAATAAAAATTCTTGTATATTTTATTTAAAAATAACTAGAATAATAAATAGAACTAGAATTTATATTCAGCATCTCTTTCATTTTTAAATATTTTTTCTGGTAGAATAATAAATGCGATTAGAGAAAAAAGTAAACTTATACATAATTATTCATTTAAATTATGCTGCATATAATTTATGTAGAATTTTATGTTTTGAAAATATCGATGAATTAAGTTTATAAGGAGATAAATTTTTTAAATGCGTCATTAATGATTTTAGTGCAGAAATTTTCAGGATTTTAGAGCTGGGCTCACAATTACCCCATGAATCAAAGCTTTGATAAAGTATTAATATAATATCTCATTATTTTTAAGAACAATATTATAACTTAATGTTTTATTTCTCACTAGAATGGTTAAAATAATAATGACTTAAATAATAAAATCATAGTTTTTATTCAAGCTCAATATTTTGTTCTGAATTTGATAAGTCAAACACCCAATTTTTCAGTTAGATTTCAAATTAAAAACGCTTTAATTTAGATTAAAAAAAAACATTAAAAAAAAAGAAGGAAATCCCAATTATTCTAATTCACTATTTACAGAAAAAATCTTTCTTCATTATGAGGATAAGTCTTTCTATGTATGAAATAAAAAGTATTTGTATTTAAATAAACATAAAACTAAATTTGTAAATGTGTTATCAAATTATTTTACATACAGTTAATGTAAATGCTGAGTTATAATTTAAAAATTTCACTGAACTTGAATCAACTTTTAGGCTTCTTTATTTTATTTTTTGGTTTATTTTGAACATTAAATGCAGTTTACTTACATTACCTCTATCTTTCATATTTTGGATAAAAGCCTTTAACATACCTGCCAAGTCTCTTGTTTTTCTAACGAAAACTCCTGTATTTTACCACAATCTCCTGTTTTGCGATATATTCTCAAATTTTTCTGTATTTGGTGAAATTTAAAACAAGAAAAAATGGTGATAAAATATTCGCTAAAGGCAAAAATACTCAATTTATTCCTCAAAAGACTCTGCAGTATGTTGAGTGTTAATAGTTTCAGTCTAGCCTTGATGGCTCATGGGATAGAACGCTCGCCTCCTAATGAGGTGACCCGGGTTCGATCCCAGATATAGCTGGTTTATTCAAATTCCGCACCGACCACAGTGCTGACGTGAAATATCCTCAGTAGTAGACGGAGCATGGGTTCCCTTGCCGTCAGTCTAACCGTGGAAGGTTTTCGTGGTCTTCCTCTCCATGTAAACCAAATGCGGGTTGGTTCCATTAAAAAGTCCTCCTCGAAGGCATATTTCTTCCAATACTTGATCCAGGAGTTCCCTTGTCTTCTGGATTGGGTTCAAAATGACAAGGCTTCGGAGTTGAACATTAGCAGTCGTAAACCCAAAAAATTGGGTCTTCTGTTCAATGACGGTTATAATATAAAATAAAATATTATAATTAATGGTTATTATAAATAATGGTTTAAAAAATATTTTTTAAGATTAAGATGCATATATTTTACTTCGCCAAATGTAAGGGCTTATATTATTTCGAATTTCTCTTTTATGTATCAAAACTTTACTCGTAGTCTAAAAAATGTCATTACTAAGATCTCCGTTATTTTATTTCTCCTATGTTGGCAGGTATGCTTTAATATCAATGAAATCAGATTTAAAAAATACCCCTATCGTAAGTATGAACCATAGCATTTATAATTTTACAAAAAATATTGCAATGTATAAATATTTTAAAAAATAAATGGTTTTGTACTATTAAACGTGATTTATTAAAAAAGGACACCGGCATTGTGGTATCATCCTCATAAAAGAATGTTTGCAAATCAGACCTTTTTTCTTAGTTGCAAAATACAATTTACTACAAAATTCTGAATATTTAATTTGATTTTCCCGCGCATGCGCAGTATAAGATAATTACTTTAACTAGTCATATCTTGCATAGTTTTTAACGAATTTTTTTTTTACAATTTTTTAATTAATTTTTGATTGCTCCAAAAATTTTGATTAATTTTATTAAATATTTTTTAAAGTTATTCTAAAAAAAAAAGAAAAAAGTGTCCACATTTCCCTAAATTTTAATGCAGTTACTGCTAATAACAGTCAAAGTAATCGGTGCTAGCTTATTGCTAGATTTTATGACATAGGATGCTCAAAAATACTTGTTTTCTTCCTTAATTTATTCTCGGTCACTGAAAGCTTTAAAACTTATGGCTGAGTATGAAAAATCGCATGAACTAATCACCTATAAAGTTACAAAATAATCCTCTGAGAACTTATTGATACATTTTTAAAAAAAAAATTTAAAAACTGTCAGTGTCTCTTTCATTATTTTAGGGTAATTTATTTAAAGAGATTTATCTTTTACTTGATATTAACTTTATGAATTTAAATTTTAACTTCATCTACACAAATCGAAGATGACTAATTGCATTTTTCTCTGTTTGAGAAAATATTGAGGGGGACTTCTGGAAAATTTCAATTTTTGAGCATATACCCGCTTCCCCCGCCAGTGAAGATTATACCATCATTGCATTAGTTAAGCCAAATCAAAATATCACTCTAGTTTAAACGTAAAAAAACATATATTGAGGATTCTACTTGATGCATTGCACTGATCATTTATCTCATATATGTCCAATTTTTAAAATTATACTTTATTATACAGAATAAATGAGCAATTACGTACAGTGGCGTAGTTTTAATGTATGTTTGAGGGGGTTATCTTCTGTTGTTGTTGTAGTAGTCGTCGGCTATTGAGACAGATAAGGTACTATTACTCCCGTTTTCATGTGGCGCCATCTATGGCCAAGAATTTGATTTCTACCACACCCATACGTCACACTCGTTTATTGGGTAGACCCAGTCATACATCCATTCATTCCTCCACAGATCGTAATTTTGACCTGGATCAGAGAATGATCAATCTCCAATGCAGTACCCCCAGAATTATAATTTGTTATGGGAACATGGATGGCTTAGTGACCCGACAGATTTACCGTGCACCAGTCACCATTTACTGCACGGAGAGTTATCGGCCCTTCCAGAGTCTTTAGAATAAATATATATATATANCTTACAGTGTGTCTAATAATTTAACCAGGGACTGTACATGTTTGTTAGTTCTGAAGGCACGTTGAGGTCACAGAAAAATTTGAGTTTATGAAGATACTGTTGATTCACTATGCAAATTCAAGCACCGGGCATGCGATGAATGTAATTTGGAGCTTTGTTACATAAACAACTGATTCTAAATGTTTAAATTACAACAAATGAATAATGGAAACTTTTTTACTTCTATATCCTGTTTACAGGACAATAGCTCATTTATCAAGCAAAAATACGCGACTGGTCCCCAAAAATACGGCACTGATTACGTATATTCAGCACCTAATATTGACATTACAATTACGCCTCTTAGACACCCGCTAATAAGTATATAATTTTGAGATTGATAATTTGAAAATTATAAATAAATATTTAGGGAAAATGTACGGCTTCATGCAATTAATAAAATCATTTAATAAAATTGCGGCGTTACTTCCACTATGAATGTTAAATACCTATTCCCTAGTATATAACACATGTTAACTCGACTCTATCTTGAGGTACCTTTTGATAGATGAAGAATAATATAGTCGATAATCATTCTCCTTCATTGGTGACCCGGACGTGATATGAACTAGCCAACATTGATGGATGGTCCACATTAAACAGTTGGTTTGCTTAAAAAATATATTTCTCAAAGAAAAAAAAAATCCGGTGAAGTAAATATTCTCTCGGTCAATAAACAATAATGTAATAAATAAATAAATAATGAGCGAAATGTTATAAAACAAAAATGAAAAGAAAAAAAGATAATGAGCGAAATGCTATTAAGGAATAAAAAATAAATGAAGAAAGAAATAATGAGCAAAAATGATATAGCTAAGTAAACAACATAAATCAACTAGTCGTTCATCATATTCTACAACAAATAAAATTCTAGAAAGTATGTAATGTGACTTAACTACCACTATAAATATTAAATACCAATTCCCCAGTATATAAGACATGTTAACTCGAGTTTTGAGGTACTTTTTGACAGATGAAGGTTGACATAGTCGATAATTAAATCCCTTTAAAATCAAAATCAAAAATAGATCATCAAAAATAGAAAAATAGAAAATCAAAAATAGATCATCATAGAATTTAATTTTATAATAATGATAAAAAAATCCAATTAACTAATTATAATCTGTGGTAGGAACGACTGACCACTCGGAATATGGAATTCTATCTCGCGCTTTTTGGATCAGCAGGTTGGAGGTTTAGACTACAGTCATCAGGTTGATTAAAGAACATTTTTCAGAATATAACAAACTAAACTTTGTTCGTAATATAATCGCAATAAGTGATTTTAATGCATTTCTGCAATTCTTTTACTCTGCAAAATTTCCAAGAGATGACGGTACACAGAATAGTAAGTTGTGAGAAATTTATGTTATCCAGGAAAATTATTTATATTTATTTATCATATTTATTAATAACTATTATTTGCTAACACAAAAAGGCGGATTAAAAAAATACATAAAGTGAGTTTATTTTGTTCTGTAAACAAACAATTAGGCATTGTAATTTTTTTAAATATTTTTGTAAGTTGTTCCTGTATGCAACTATAGATGACAGCACTAGA